TGTGTGTTCCTGTGCGGAAGTTGTTATCGGCAACATTTCTTACTCTGGATTTAAATGGTCAAATGGACTTTCGAAGTACAATCCTATTCAACATCAAAATGTAAATGAATCATTTGAGTACAGTGAAACAAGAGACAAACTTGCTTCCTTCTAAAATCTAGCATTTTCCAATGCGCCTGTATATTGAATACAATCTCTTTTTCCCTTACTAATAAAAATAATCATCTATGAAATTTATGCAGGAAAGAGAGAAAATGCATTATTTTCTATCAACAAGAAAAAAGAACTGTCGTCGATTCGTCTCCGAATTGTTTGGAATCTATTCATCCTTCGGTGCTTCACATGTCGGGTATATCTTTTCTGTTCAGTTGTTGTCATGTATTACTTACCACTATCAGTCAACAAATTTAAACGAAGTTATTTGCGAATGTGTTACTTTTGGTTTTGTCGATTATATGTTCTTTACACGTGGTAGCCTCTTTTTTTGTAATCGACGGGCTGTTTTATTGTGAGTAAATAGTTGCTTCTTATCTTTTTTTTCTTTCACTTCTTCCCAATTTCTTTTCTACGACTTGATACACTACCTGTAATAGTAGATTGTGATAAAAGATAAATATCAACTAGAAAAGAAGTTAAAGACTGAGTTACTTTGAAGTCAAGGTTAGAATCAGTAAAGACAAACGACCAGTCCTGTAAAAGATTTCTTCTATACTTTGTAATAGAATAAGCATCGTAATATACTCATTATGTTTTATCAATTTGCTTCGATATTATTTCATACTATCAAAATAAAATAAAATAATTCTTATTGTAGTTTCTCACTATTCATGGCATATATTTCTAAACGGTACTAAAAGTAATGGAGTAAATATAACATGAGAATTAATCAATGTACAAAGCTAATACAGTATTGGCAGTCCTATGAGAGAAGCTATAAAACAACGTTTGGTGAGAAATCACTTTTCTTTCAGAGTTATTCAACTATACTGCTGTTTTTCAATGAAGCCAGGGTTGCCAGATAAAAAATTTAGAAATCGGATTTTCTTATACAAAAATCCGGAAAATTCAGGGAAATTTGGAAATTTTTTTAATCAATTCGGAAAAAAAATCTGAAGTCAATTTTTTAACATTTATGGTAATAAACTGACCGTATTTGTGTTAAAAGAATATTGTCTACATCACTCATAATTTATTTTTTTACAATTTATTTATTGAGAAAAAAGTTAAAATGTTATTTCACTATTAAAACCGATTGCTTTCTAGAAAATATAGGCTTTCGTGAAAAAAAAACAATATAAATTTTATACACTGTCCCATAAATCACTTGGCAATAAAAAATTTAAATATCTCCCATCAATTGCCTACCAGACAAGCTCAACTTTTGACCAGTACTAGGGACTTAAATTTCTTTTTCATAAGAGAACCATCGACAAATACTGTTTCTAGGTAATAAGATCAACATCAAGAATGATTTTTCGCTTGCTACGAGCTAAAAAAAGTGTTTCAGGATGATTTCAGAGTATTTTTTGTAAACCTTTTCCCATCTATTTGTAATCTCTTACACAAAAGTAATAAGATCCTATTATAACTGAAATGTATACATTCTTAGATTTTCAGATTCAAAATAAAACTAGAGTGTGTGTGGATAGGTGTGGATTTTGGTCTTCTCACTTATATATCCGCACCTACATCGCCGCTCACCCACATCCATCCTCGTTTCGAACTTATTATTTGTTGCTATGGCTTTTAATAGATCTTGTTGAGATATTATAGATTCATAAAAATTATTGCGTGGAATATTTGAATTTTTTCGGATTTTCAACTCCGCCGCAACTAATTGAATGTCCATACGATTGCGATAATTGATCCATAAATGATTCATTTGACTAAATATAGATTTAACATGTGGATTACTATATGGAATAGAGAAAAAATGTAACATATAATTGTTTGAATATTCGATGTTGCATCTTTAAGATTTATTAAATATAACCATAACTGATCAGAACGAATGTTTTCGTCTGTGTCTTTATTGTCATGTAATAAAAAATCTTCATTATCACTATCATCACATAAATGACTTCCTTCGTTGTATGCTGTTGATTATGCATTATGAGTATTTTTATTTGAAATACATGATTTTATTATTTATTCCATGTCACATTTTTATTTTTCAAATTATTGTACATAAATTTTAGTTCACAATATTCGTTATATAGTTCATCTTTATTTGAATCACCAATCTTGATCAGATCAAGAACGTTCATAACATATTCCCATATGAGAAATCAAGCAGAATGGCAATCAAAAATCAATAATTTTTCATGGAAATTGCGATCTTTATCAAAATATGAATTACTATATTCAATAGTAACTTTGATGAATGATTCAAATGATTGTTGTAATTCTTCAGCTTTATTCTTATCAGAATCTTTAAATAGTTGAGTATCGTATGTGCTTTATTGCCAAAATAATGATCATCCAGTCGTTGTTCAAATTTTTTTAATTAAATCAGAAATAATTCGATAAAGGTCGACAGCTGTTATATGTTCATCTGAGTAAATTGCGAAGTAAAAAGTGAAATTCGAAATTTTTCCTGTCATTTCGGAAGATCTGGTAACCCTGATCCTACACTATATCAATACATCGGTATTAGAAGAAATCGCCAACTTTTCACTTAACATAATCTGTTTGTAATTAACTGAAAGAAGGCTGAACCAAATACAATAATTTCTGACTATCTTGTCCCTCGTGAGGATTCACAATGAATGTTTTTTTCCGAGTAACAATGTAACTCTGACTGAGATATTTAAGCGGTATATCTTTTAAATGATGAAAATCTGCACTGTCATCACTCTTTGCTGTTTTTTTCATGACTATTAGTTGCTTGAGCATGATGACAACGCAAAGAATGCCAACAAATAGCATGCATATATTATTACCCGTTGCATATAAATACTGCTATTGACATACAACTCGTTCTCTTTCTTCTTCTTCTTTTTGATCACGTAATCTATTTTCAAAAAATATCTATGTCGACATACAAACTTTATTATTTCAATGCTCGTGGACAAGCTGAAGTATCTCGTTTAATATTTGCTACTGCTGGTCAAAAATATGATGATATTCGTTATCAATATAATGAATGGCCATTATATGCAAGTGAAATGCCTTTAGGTGAAGTACCTGTTCTTGAATATAATGGTACTAAATTACCAGAATCACGAGCTATTGCTCGTTTTCTTGCTAAACAATTTCGATTAGCTGGAAGAGATAATTTTGAGCAAGCCAAAGTTGATGCTGTCGTCGATACAATTAAAGATTTAACAACGAATTATATACAAGCTCGTTGGGAAGACGATGAAATAAAAAGAGAAGAAGTGACTAGAAAATTTCTTCATGAACAATTACCTGAACATTTACGTAACCTGGAAGTTTTAGTTAAAGAATATAGTAATGGTGGTCTTTTCTTTATTGGTAATCAATTAACATGGGCAGATTTACTTTTTTATAATACAGGAGAAAATATTCTTGAATTAGATCGAAATTGTTTAAACAATTATCCATGGTTAAAACAAAATCGTGCAGAAGTTGCAAGACAACCAAGAATTGCAGAATATCTCAGGAGACGGCCTATTACCTCATTTTAAAGAATAAAACTAATGAATATTCATACATGAAATTTTTGTCTATTCTGCTTTGACGTCATTTTTAATAAACGATTGAGATAACTTTTCAATAACTTTCTTGTCTTATCTTATTACAATTCGTTCTATGCTTATTTGATAGAGAAGTTTCTGCTCTACAAAACTATCGATTTTATATTTCAAATAGTTTTTTCATGTCGAAAAAAAATTTAATAAGTTAACATCTAGTTAATTGTTCGGCTGCGATAGTCAAGAAAATGAAAAAAGTGACATATAAATATTATTCTGGTAGAATAAACTTATTGTTCCTGTTAAAGTCAGTACAATGTAATATTTCTTTTACTTTTCAGGTTCACAGCTATACATACTATTTTGTTCAGAATTGAATTCTACATTAATCAACCTGAGCCTTTTTCTTATGAATAAAGCACCAGAAATCTTGAAAAGTTGTAAAAGAAAAGAATCCAACAATCGCTACTCATTTACGCTATATATCAGTTTCACAGCGATTTTTGACGACACAAGAAAGTATATATATTAAATGTGTAGAGAAAGATATCTTATTCTCTGGTTCAATCCTTAAATCATCTTTGCTTTAACACTAGGAAGATATCTGAAAAATACTGAAGAAACAGGCATTCATGACATGTAAATTGAATAAACATCACATGTACATACTACTCGTCTCTCTCATTCATTTGATTTGCAATGTGATACGAACAAAAGTTAATAACAAAAAAAAATACGTGCATGATTCATATATGATATACATTACTACTGTGTCGATAACAAGCGAAGCAGAATCTAGACATCTATTAATCAAAACTATCTGCTCATTTTGTTGTCTTAGTCTGATCGCTATCATTATATTATACAAATTGAAAAAAAGGAATAATATAAGAGATAAAAAAAACGAATTGATTAAAACTAGATTTTATCAGTAACTTGATCCGATAAGAAATTGTAAGAGTTAGTTAATATTGAAAAAATAAATTCTTTTGTCTTCATAGCTATTCGAATTTTCTTTTATGTACTAAGCAACATACTCCTGTTTAGAATATATAGACAAATGACTTTTTTTAATCAAAAAGCAAAATCTGTACTGTCATCACTCTTTACCATTTTCTTTGTTGTTTCTAGTTGCTTATACATGATGACAAGGTAAAGAAAAATAGCAAATACCATGCTCATATAAATGCCTGTTGCATATAATTGCCACTATTCATACACAACTTATTTTCTTTCTGGTTCTTGTTCTTCTTTTCTCTCACAACGTTATTTCTATTCAAAAAAAAAACTATGTCAACGTATAAACTTACCTATTTTAATGCTCGTGGTCGTGCTGAAGTATGTCGTTTAATATTTGCTGCTGCTGGTCAAAAATATGAGGAAATTCGTTATGAACTTCATGAATGGCCGTCACATAAACATGAAACGCCCTTAGGTCACATACCTGTTCTTGAATATGAAGATGTGAAGTTACCACAATCGGTATCTATTGCTCGTTTTCTTGCTAAACAATTTCAACTAGCTGGCAGAGATAATTTTGAACAAGCAAAAGTCGATGCTGTTGGTGATACAATCGGTGATGCCATGTCAAAATATATGTCTGTTCGTTTTGAACGAGATGAAATAAAAAGGAGAGAAGTTACTAAAAAATTTCTGGATGAAGAATTATCTAAGTATTTACAAAATCTAGAAATTTTAGGTAAATTATATAGTAATGGTGGTCCGTTTTTTGTTGGTAATCAATTAACATGGGTAGATTTATTCTTCTACGATTTAGGAGAAAAACTTCTTGAATTAGATGATAATAGTTTAAACAATTATCGATGGTTAAGGCAAAATCGTGCTGAAGTTGAAAAACAACCAAGAATTGTGGCATATCTCAAGACGCGACCAAAAACACCATTTTAAAAAATCAAATAATCTTATGAACATTCATAGCTTTATTTTTCTGATATTCTCATTATATTATTTTAATAAATTATTGACATAAAATTTTGATTAATTTCTTTTTCTATTCGAACGTATCTTGCATTAAATCCCAGTAGTGTTCAGACTTCCAAAAAAGGAAATTATGGAAATTTCGGAAATTTTGGAAGTGATACCTCTGAAAGCTCCATTGCCTCGAAAAATTTGGTAATTTCGGAAATTTTCAAAATTTTCATAACTTGCACTTTCGGAAATTTCCACAATTTCTAAAGTTTTCGAAATTTCTTTAAACTTCCAAATTTTCAAGAATACTTTTCTATGAGTTTACATATTATTGAAAATTTCCGTAATTTCCTTTTTTGGAAATCTGAACATACCTCGAGAGAAATGAGTTTTTTTGTAGGGTCCATACAATGAGAATGTAAAAAACGTTTTCACACGTATTAAGAGATTCATCAGACGGCATGTCCAAATTCATCATTATCAATTAATGATAATAATGAAACTGTTTAAAATACCCCCTATCAAAGACAGAGGAGATACAGCGTTATGTATGACTACCCAATATGAACAAGCAGCCGTGATCGGTTTCGTCCTTGCTTAAGGGACTTATGAGACGGCATGTTCAAATTCATCATTACCAATTAATGATAATAACGAAACTGTTTAATCTATCCCTATCAAAGATAGAGGAGACACAGTATTAAGTACAGCTACTTTATAAGAACAAGCAGCCGTGACCAGTTTCGTCCTTGCTTAAAGGGCTCATCAGACGGCATGTCCAAATTCATCATTATCCTAAGATAACAACAAAACCGGTCACGACTGCTTGTTCATATTGAATAGTCATACTTAACACTGTGTGTCCTCTGTCTTTAATAGAGGTAGATTAAACAGTTTCGTTATTATCATTAATTGATAATGATGAATTTGAACATACCGTCTCATAAGTCCCTTAAGCAAGGACGAAACCTGTCACGGCTACTTGTTCTCACTTCAAAGAAGAACAGAACAATGTCAATATAAGTATCACAAGCATAGATCTGAGTTGTATGGGCCCATGATGTATATGCGAGCATTTGCTACAGAATGAATACCTAATATGAAATGCTGAGCAAGTAAAAAAAAAGAAATTTATTCAATGATTTCATAAAAATATCGTTTTGACTAACTAAAAAAATCAATTCAGGCGCTTTCATCCGATCAAAATATCAAGGCGAAGATTATCTTTAAGTGGAATTTGTTCATGCAACACATCTTCTCTTGTAATTTCCTCACATTCGCCTCCTCTAATCATGACTGATGTAACTATGTTCATAACTCGATCGATAGCTTTCCGTATATCAATAATATCAAGTTCATTTTCGGAGAGAGAATCATTTTGATATTTATTCAATGCTTTTGTGTAATTCTCCAATGCATTCTGATATTCTTGAAATCCAGTTTCATACATTTCAGCAATGTAATAATAAGCATCCGCAATATCAGAATCATTTCTAGAATAGGCTAATCGAATCATCAAGCCTTTTTTATAAGCTTGCATAGCTAATTCATAATCCTTTTTATGTTACAGTTCTTCACCGATTAATATTAATGTTTGTGTTAAATATGGATAACTTAATGATAGAGGTTGTTTTTCATAAATAGCAAGTACTTTTTCGAAATTTTCCAATGCGTTACTTCGCTCTTCAATTGGATAATGCAACACATAAGCGACTCCAATTGTTAGATATGTCTGAGCTGTTTGAAGATGATTTGGGATCGATTTCAATTGAATTACTTAGGGTTATCCAAAAGTAGTGGGCCAGGTTCTTTTTTTTCTTATAAATAGCTAAAAAGAAATTTCTTTTTTTACGAATAGATAGAGCGTCTTTCGCTCTATCTTTCTATGCTATTTGATCACTATTCAACTGGTATCATAATAATAAAATTTCGATAAGAACTTTTTTTGTGTAACTCCAGCTGGTAGCAATAGTGCATATTATCATCCATGCGTGTTTTCTTTGTTTTTTTCTCATCATCTAATAGGTTTTATTAAAAAACAAAATACAACACAAAATGCAGCGTAAAAAGCTCTACAATTTACATACGACCACTTTTTTTATAGTTGCACTTTTTGTTTTCAAATTGGACAAAACTTTGAGCGACCAAATTTTGACCGTGCGAAAATTGGTAGCACAGAATTTTGCTTTTTTTTAAAACAATTACAATAAGCTTTACTATGTAAATTGTAGAGCTTTTCACGCTGCATCTTGTGGTATATCTCGTTTTTAATAAAACGTATTAGATGATAAAAATATGAAATAAGAAAAAAGAAATTTCTCTTTTGTGTAGAAAAAAATGATCTTTTTTGCAACGGCGAAAACTGGTCGCACAGAATTTTGCTTTTTTTGAAAACAAAAAGTACACAATTAAAATAAACTGTTTTTTGTAAATTGTAGAGCTTTTCACGCTGCATCTTGTGCTGTATTTTGTTTTTTAATAAAACCTATTAGATGATGAAAACACGCATGAATGATAATATGCACTAATGCTACCAGCTAGAGTTGCACTAAAAATGTTTTTGTCGGAATTTTATTATTATGATACCAGTTGAATAGTGATCAAATAGCATAGAAAGATAGAGCGAAAGACGCTCTATCTATTCGTAAAAAAAGAAATTTCTTTTTAGCTATTTATAAGAAAAAAAAGAACCTGGCCCACTACTTTTGGATAACCCTAAGTAATAATGAATCTTTATAATGAGACATACTTAACAAATAATCTTCTGTTACCATTTCTACAATACCCATATTATAAAGTGATTGTGCCATTGCGGGATGATGATCTGGAAGACACAACATCTGAATTAAATGACATTCACTATAATAAGTATAAGCCAGTTCATAATTATGGCGATTAAAAAATAAATTGCCTATGTTTAAATATACAGTTGCTATTTTAACTCTATTGTCTCCAGGCAATTTGTTTTGATATAAATTTAGAGCTTCACAATAATGGTCTATTGATTTCATATAATTTTTCATTTCAAATAGAACTGTGCCTAAATTCATATGAATCACAGCAAGACGATTATGGTCGATCACTAATGATTTTCTCTCTAATTCAAGCGCTAGGATATAATTTGAATAAGCGCTTTCAAACTGATCTTTTTCACATGCAATATTTCCAACACCCAAATAGCAACTTGATAAATTACGATCATTTTCAGATAATTGTTTCAAATAAATGTTATAATACAATTCAGCTTCATTCAATTTTCCTATTTGATAAAAAATATTTGTCAATGATATTAGGTCTGTTTTTTTCTCGATTTAATCTTTAATTGATCGGAATAATTCCCTTAATTCGTTATCTTCTTCACCGGAAGCTGTTAGCTTAACAATCCAAACTTTCTCTTCTTCATTTCAACAAATATTATGAATTTTGAATATATTTCCAAGCATAAATAATACTTCTTCTTCGCTTTCAATAGTAGTTTGTTCCGTTATATCACGAAATGGCCTTCTATCTTCTGCTTGAGTATCAACTTCAATTTCAAATAGAATTGAAACTTTTGTTAAATCGACATTATCTGTTCCGGCATAGAGTAAAGTTACTTGGCAACTTTTAGTTGTTGATAGAAAACTATTCATCGAGACATATTTGCCAATATTCATTTTTAAATTATCAAATTCAACTATTGTCATCAATTGACCGCGATACAGATGAACAATTGAATGGTTAAAATTTGATTTTACTTTAAGTTGTTCGTTCATATCACGTATAAGAAAAGAGAATTTAACTAATAAATCAATATTTTGACGTCGTAGAGCACAATTTAAAATATATTGAAAAAATGTTTCACGTGTATACCACCATATAGCTTGGTTTGCATTATAGGTCGTTTCTAATTCAGTAATATATTTTATATTGGTTTCATTATAACCATATTGCTTTCTACATATTGAGAGTAGTTCTTGAAAATGTATTTTTATCGATTCCAAATTCATACGTAGTAAAATTTCAATTAATAATTGAGACCACATAAATTCACTATCAAATATTTGATGTGAAGACTCCGATACGACTTGAGAATAGATGGGTGTCATCGTTTGTTGCATAAAAGTCATTGGTAAATCAGTACTATGAGATTTTCTTTGTGCTTGTTGATCATTATAAATTTGTTCGACTAATTCATTTGCTGATGTGAAAATATTCTTCACCTGAAATTCAACGTGTTTGTTACATGAAAACTGTTCATTAATAGTTTCGGTTTCTTACTTTTTCATACTGTTTGACCATATTTCATGTCCATCTTTCTGTTTACAAAATATGTATATAATTAGTAGATGTGTCATTATATGTATTTCAGGTATTAAGTGTTGTCCTATTGCACCAGAGATAATTAGAATAATTTCTTGATTTGTCTCATTTTGAAGATATCGTTTACAATTATCGGCAGATTCAAATATTTGTAAAAAATTGAACATATGACGCAACTCTAATTGAATGTGTTGATTTTCTTGTGTTGAATTGATATTTGTGTCACACGATACAAGAGCGTAAGGACTTAAATTCCTTTCATAATTTGACTGCTGTAGTAGATTGTGAGGAATTGTTAATTTTCTTGATTCTATTATTGATCTATAAGTGTCTTTTAGTTTACGTTGTGAAAGATTGTCATCGACTGTAGACAATATTCGATAGTCATCTGAATGTTTTCGAAAACAGCAGCAGATAGCTCCCATATTTTTATTTGTGATCTAAAATGAAAAATTAGAAGCACAATTTTTCATCATAGTATTGTAATTTTAACAGAAACAGTAGAGTGAAAATGGAAAAAATCATTTTTATAAGCGAGAAAATTCATTATTCTTGTTGTCTTTTTATTATAATTCGTAGTTCTTAAATGAATTATTAGGTTGTCTTATGATTGAGGATATTCATATTTATGCATCACACTTGAATTTTTCCAGCAGAAGCGTCTTTTATTCCATTATTTCTTTATATTTACAGTCGTTTGTAGAGTAAAGAAAAAAAACAAAAAAAAAACACTGATGTAACAGAATAAAAAGATTTTTTCTCTTGTTCTACATAAGAAATAGATTTTTTTTCTTTCGTATGGCGACACCGTTAACTTCAATCCATCGTTACACGTACACAGACGCTCTCACACTGACATCTTGTTTTGTTCCGCTCTCCTTTTTCCCAATGGAATGTTTCATCATCAATCATCACTAACATGAATTATTCTGGACAAATTTCTTAGTATCGATGTGTCATGCGTTCTCTGTTAGTCTGTTTCTATTCGTACAAGGAAGATACATTTTCCAGGCAAAATCCAATACTAATTGCTATTGCATATACTGTTTGATTGAAAAAGACAAACATAGAAAAACGACAATTTTTGATAATGTCAAATATTGTTTTAAAAAATTCAATGTGAATGATTTTGAATAAAATAGCAATTGATATCTATTCATAGAATCTCAAATTTTCAATAAGGAACTATATCACTGACATGTTTTAATAATATAGGAAAGTTACAGCATTAAGTTACAAAAAAATATTTTTCTCAAAACTATAGAAAGTTTCAAAATTGTAGGGCATTATAGATTTTGTCGGAAAAATATTTCTAGTTATTTTTTTTTGAGAATTTGATGGTGGTTATATTTGTAAAGCGAAAGAACCTTCTTCGACAACCTCGATAGAGTGTCCTATGAGTGATAGACATCTTCTACTATTAGTCAATTTTCAATCAAATAACATTCGTTATTTATTCAGTCATACTATAGAGCAATAAGATGGAGTTATTTTATGAGTTCTTTTTTACCAAAATATTCCTCATGAGAGGAGAGGAAAAGAAAAATTTGTTTTTGTTTCATATGAAAATATTGTGAAAAATTTCACAATCCATTCTACGAGGAAACGATGAAGAGGGTATGGGGATGGGGTGTGATTGTGGGTTCTGTTGAAGAGTAGCTCCATATCCGCACAGCCACCCACACCCTTTTATAGCGTGTAAAGTACTTCCCGAAATACTGAATGATGAAAATATAATAAAAAAGTTTTGATCCTAACTTTTATTCACTATTGTATTGAACTGCAGCTTGTTCTAATAGGAAAAATGAATTTCAAATTAAAATGAAGAAATTCCCTTTTTATGTCATTAAAATATTTAATAATATCTTTGTCAAGAAGTGAAACAATTGATTCTATGTTTTCACAAGAATATATTTCCATGTATATTTATGTATTACATCAGTTTTAGAAAAAAAAAGGTAGTCAAAAGTTGCCATGAATGGATGATTCATCTTATATTTATATTGCATCATCCATAAAAAACATAAAATATATCTCTTTTCGTTCTGATCAATGAATGAAAGTAATGTTTGAATAAAAAAGAATATAATATGAATAACAAAAAAAAAGAATGAATGCGCCCGTCGGGAGTCGAACCCGAGCGGCTCGTATGGAAAACGAGGATTCTACCGTTAAATTACCGGTGCTTATCGATACTATGTACGAATTCCTTCATATTGATGGATTTCATAATGAGGATTTCACAATTATTCCATTCAAATGATTACATTGTTTGAGTTAAATAGTAAAATAGAGACTAACAGATTCGCTAATTTTGTTTTTCGACATAAACCAAGTCACCGATAAGAAATCCATAGGTTCAAGTCACGTCTCAATTCATTGACTTAGATTTTGGTTTAAGGTTTTGTATACATATAAAACTAATCTCATGTCCTTTTGATAATATTAACAATGATGCACGGTATTGTTTTCCTTGAATCATTCAATGTAGAATTATAAGTACTGAAACGAATGAATGTCAATAAACACATACTTGAAGTATCATGTGAAAGTTGAAAATTAACTTATAACATAAAATTAATCATATTCAGTTATATAATTCCGAAACTATATTAGCACAATTACTTGAAACATGATCGTTGTTTTTGGCAAATATTGCCTTCTATTGCAAAAAAAGTGGAGTAAAAAAAATCGTAAATGAAGATTGAAGATCAACTAAGATTCTTTATCTTGATCTTCCTATTAATTATTAGAATCTTCCTGATCAATTGAATTAATTCAAAACATAATTAGCATATTGGGAAGTCTTTTGTTTACTCATAATGAACAATGTACTCTCTCTCTCTCTCTGTTTGTTGTTATACGACACGAATAAGAATATATTCGACACACTTGAATGATCTTGTTCATAAACGTATATTTTGTTGAGTAGTAAAAATTTACTTTGACTTATAATAAATAGTACATATACATAGTACCAACTCATTTCACTTCTTTATCCAACGAGATTGTTTTAATTATTTGGAAGTATTTGACTAATGTCGAAGCGATCAAAAGTTTTGGTTCAATCGAATGTCAACGATACAGCCGATTATTAGAGGCTTATTGTTACAAATCCATTGATTTTTACACGACAACTTTGTCGACTTTTCAACTCTGTTGCACTAGTACACTCGATAACTTCCGACAAAGTGTGCAAATCTTGAAGTTCGGTCATCGAGATTCTTATTCTCAGTTACGTATCTTTTCATAACATTGTCTAAGTAAGTGAATACAAAAAGAAAGGAAATGTATGTTACAGAGACAGTTATAAAGTCACGTAATTATTATATACACCTAATCAACGAGCATGTTTGCTTATAATATCTACTTTTTCTGCTTATTTGTCTAAAAAAATTTTTATTTTTCTGCTATATTATTCTTTATTTTTATCTTTTATTTAAAAAAAACAATAAAAAAAAGATCTCGTCCATCTATGATAAAGGATTGTGCTAGATTTAAAGAATTTTATGCTATATCTTTGAATAGCACTATGCCGTAAACGAATAAACTATTGGTGTGTTCACATACTAACATAGGTCTTTAATGAATTTTGTTAGAAATTTGCTTTGTCTGTTTCGTCAAGATGATCCAAAGTTAATTCTATGATATTTGCAAAATTGTCTATTCGATTCAAACTTTTCTAAAAATTGTCATAATCTTGTAGTTTGAGACACAGGATAGACGTCTTTTTTATTGAAATCTTCACAGATATTTCAATAAAATATGAAAAAAAATTAATATCAATATTGCAATTTTCAAATGATTTCCCATTATATGACGAAAATGAGTTCTAAAATAACCCCGTTTCTATTAATTTCTATCAGTACTTTTGGTAGGATATATCACAATCTACTAGAGTTTACCATCATTTGACTCATTAAAGATGCCACGTAATACATAAGGCATATCTCACATATATCCGAATGTCTGAACTTAATGAATTATTGAATATCTGAATATCCAAGTTTGATTATTCAATTATAACCGTGAAAACTCTAGATTGTTAATGCCGTCTGCAGTGTCTGTTTATCGTTTATACTATTGATTTTCTCCAAGTTGTGTGTAATAGACATTTTCTGTTTGATGAAATACAGTTTGCCATTTATCTTTCGTCACCTTAAATGTCGTAGATCAATCGTTTTCAACTAAATCCAAAAATTTGTTAATACAATTGTTTTTCGTATTTTGTTGGCATAATGTGTGACGCGAAAGTGTGGGTGTGGGCAGAGATGTCATAATATCCAAAGGCTGGGTATCGGGGAGATACTAGTCACGATATCCGTCAGAGTGGATACCCAAAGTGGATACCCTATCTTGTAAAGTTGAGGATTTTGAGTGAATTTCGTGTAACGACATGGATACCCAAAATGGATACCCTACCTGCAAAAGTTGAGGATTTTGAGTGAATTTGGTGTAACGAGATGGATACCCTACCTTCAGAAGTTGAGGATTTTCAGTGAATTTGGTGTAACGACATGGATACCCTACCTTCAAAAGTTGAGGATTTTGAGTGAATTTGGTGTAACGAGATGAATACCCAAAATGGGTGGGTGTGGGTGTAGGTCTGAGTGTAGGTGTGGGTGTGGGTGCGGGTGTGGGTGTGGGCGGCTGTGGGTTTGGGTGTGGGTGTCGGTGTGGGTGTGGGTGTGGGTGTGGGTGTGGGTGTCGGTGTGGGTGCGGGTGTGGGGTATCCGTGTGGGTCTGAGTGTGGGTGTGGGTGTGGATGTGGATGTGGATGTGGGTGCGGGTGCGGGTGTGGGTGTGGGTGTTGGTGTGTGCGGAGTGTGGGTGCGGGTGTGGGTGTGGGGTACCGATGTGGGTGTGGGTGTGGGTGTAGGTGGGTAGTGGGCCGGATGTTCTATTAGTGTTAGCAGTAGCATTTATTAATGCTAATACTAATGCTTTGGCATTCATGGCATTACGGTGAATTAATGCAAGGTATTTGCATTA